GTTTTCATCTTATTAGAAAACATATTTGCAAGAAAGAGCCTGAGTCACTATTTGACATTTTGGGCTGAGTGCTCTATCACTGTTCCGTCTGAAAAGGCCAAAGCCATGACAAATCTACTGATAGTGATCTTTATTAGAGCCACAAACTGTAATTAATATAGTTATTTTTCTTTGTTCCTAGAGAAGAGTTCCCCAAAATCATGTTTAACAGAGAACAGAGGTTGAATCTGACTGTTCGATCGCTGTGGCAAACATGATGAGCTCCAGGAGTGACTGTCTGCTGAGAATGTCTTGCAGTGCCAGGCGTCCAGCTCACATAAGAGCACTGTAAAGCAGAATGTGGAGAGAAATGCTTTTGTGTCTTCCCCCAGTGTCACATGCTCTGCAGCTGTGACGGTCTGCTTAGCTCAGTGTATAATCTGTTGACTATCTGATAGAGGGAGGGGACCAAAGGGGAAAATACAGAGCAGGGGAGCTGGAGTAGTAATCTAGGTCGTTCAGCAGTAATCCCAGACAGAGAGAGAGTGGGCATTTGATGTCAAAGGCTGAACAGCTCATCTTGGTTTGGAATCTGTCCAGAAAACACTTGAAGTTGTCACTAAAGAAAACAAACATCAGCAAATAATGCAGTGTTGGCTGCAAGCGTGCACAATTGCATGATACAAGTAAACTGCACTACAGGACTGGTACGAGACCAACACTAGATTATAGGGTTAATATGGAGAAGGCCAGACTTTTTTTTGTTCAACCCAACAGAAAGACTCTTGTTTATCAAACATTTTGTGAACAAGTACTTAATCTTAGTAGAAAAGATGTTATCTTTTACAGTACATACTAAGAGAAAAATGTTCAGATCAAAAACACATGGGAACCAAACTGTTACATGTTTTTTTCTGGTTTCAAAGTGTGTTATTCCAGCAGCTAAGGTTAAGTATTGGGCATGGCCTAAAGAAAAGCAAACAGATGGAACTTGGCATAGTGGTCAGTCAACTCTGCAGTCTGCAGGCCTCTAGTGTCAACACTTTTCTCACTTTAGTCTGTACAGTAAACATTAAAGGAGTATTTTGTACTTCCGGGTGGATCATCAAGACTATTGGTCCTCCTAATTGCCAATCATTCTGGTGATACGTGCTCGTCAAAAAGACCAGACAGTATTGTTTAAAAAGTGGAGAGGGCGGTACTTACATTTTGGGATAATACTACCTATATCTCCTATAACAGCTTTTAAAACAATAAAATCCATCCTGCCTCATGCAGGATGGATTTGGGCACATCACATAAACATTGACAATACTAATAAATTGTATCTGGGAGTGCTCTCAGATCTGAGTTCTGTTGTTTACAGAATTGGTCTTCTTTGAGGTCCTTCGGACAAAACGTTAAGTGAGAACAAGAAAAAGTACTGAAGCACCCAGTCTGGAAGTTTGAATCCTTATTTTATTCTACTTATTAAATAATATATGTACACAGTGCCTTGATTTTTCACTGTTCTCATGCTTCCCACATTCAAAGAAAACAAAAACAAAGTCAGCATAAAAATCAGCATAGACTGTAATGCTGAGACAAGCAGTGTACAATGTCATTACAGACAATGATTAAAAAAAAGAAACCGTAGTTTTGCTATAAAGATATAGCAACACTACAAAACATGGGGATGCCACACACGCACGCAGTACCTCTGAGCAGCTCCAGGGGAACAGATATCTGGTGTCTGCTGCCCCCTACAGGCCACAATGCAGACCCGTCCCAGTGGAGGCTCTTCTTCCCTGCTGTGAGAAACCCAGGCTCTGACACAATTATTTAATGTTGCCGTTCTTTTGTCTTCAAAACACACCACACACATGAGATATAAGTATAATGTTAATTATGCACATTAAATATTTGCTATTGACAATAGCGAACTACGTGTGTGCATTTATCTGGTTTATGTTGCTGCAGGATCAGAGAAACAATTTAATGGCAATAATAATGAGGTGGTAAAGCGGGAGCTGAGCCGAAAGGCAAAGCTCTCAATTTACCGGTCAATCTTCGTTCCCTCCCTCACCTATGGTCATGAGCTGTGGGTAATGACCGAAAGAACGAGATCGCGGATACAAGCGGTCGAAATGAGCTTCCTCCGCAGAGTGGCTGGGCGCTCCCTTAGAGATAGGGTGAGGAGCTCGGTCACACGGGAGGAGCTCGGAGTAGAGCCGCTGCTTCTCCACGTCGAGAGGAACCAGTTGAGGTGGCTCGGGCATCTGTTCAGGTCAGGATGCCTCCTGGACGCCTTCCTGGGGAGGTGTTCCGGGCACGTCCCACCGGGAGGAGGCCCCGGGGAAGACCCAGGACACGGTGGAGAGACTATGTCTCTCAGCTGGCCTGGGAACGCCTAGGGGTCCCCCCGGACGAGCTGGAGGAGGTGTGTGTGGATAGGGAAGTCTGGGCGTCTCTGCTTAGACTGCTGCCCCCGCGACCCGGCAACGGATAAAGCGGAAGAAAATGGATGGATGGATAATGAGGCAGATTGAGACTTCACCCTTCTCTCATCAGTCACAAAACTCTCATGTGTTATTAATAATGATACTAGATGGATATAATCTATGGTGAATAGATTGTGTTCATGTGACATCACATCATTCAAATTTAGTGAAAAATCATGAAAAATCATTGTAACTATGGTAATTGCATAGATAATTTATTTGTAATTCTGAAGCTAATTCACATGAAAGTTGTCAAATCTCATAATAGTGCCTAGAAGTGGAGACAATATTGTGAAAAAAAAAACGTGCATGGTGTTGGACAGGAGAAGGACTTTAGACATTAGAATAACATAACTGGTTTGTGAATCAAATTATGAACTTGGAAAAAATTTGGGCATTTTCTTGTTCAAACGTTTCATTCAAAAATGCGTCTTTCCCAATACTTTAAGAGTTGTAACGGTACCTTCAATATAAACGCATCCTGTTTCCTCGGGCTGTCCCAATATGTGCAAATGTATGTTTGAAACAGTCCTATAAGCCATATGTAAATGTCCCAGTCATGCCATAATCAGACAGTTCATTTGAATGTAAGTAAGGTCATCTAACTCTATAGTGGTTAACAAAGAAAATAAGTCCCTCACATTCCAGAAGTTAACAGTCAGTCTCAATATTTAAATGTAGGGGTCAAGTGCCTTTGCAGTACAAACCCAGTCTACTCATTTAAATGTTAACAATACTCCTAAATCCAAACAGTTCAGTTGAATCCACTTCTGAGATGAAGGGAGTGCCCCTCAAACAGGCGCTCCTTAAACTGTGATAATATTGACAATAACACACACTCTGTCTCAGTGAGTCTCCTTTTGGATACATTAAAGTTACAAAATGTTTAATATACACTGCAATCCTTCAAACTTGTTCTTAGTTCTTAAAACAGCTTGGTTCGATCTCTCTAGTTTTCATATCTATGTAAGTTTGGGCCCATCTTTAGACTTGACCGGTCAAATAGACTTACAGGGATCTTTTTGACACATATGAGAAAGATATTCATTTTTAAACAAGAAACAAAATAACAGCGTATGCAATGTCAGTTGTTGATTCATTTTTTGGGAAAATGTTGCCTTTATGCCTTTTTATGGCATAGAAAATGGTATTTTCTAATACAATGGTAATTTTCAATATAAAATACCTTTTACTGTATGTTGTACTGTATGTTGTACTATGTAGCTCCCAGAACTCCCAGAGCAGTTAATTTGACTGCAATTTGCTTTTTGTTTTGGAAGTGTAATTACTCTGTGTATGTTTGTTTTTGGTTTTTACAACTTTGAGACTTTTTCCAAATCTAAACATGGTTTATTTCTATGTATTCAAATTGATGAAATAATCTTGATCCTAGACTGATTCAGTTCAGTGCAATCTCAGCTTGGAGTAAGTGATGGTTACCATAGCAACACACTGTTTACTTGAAGCATTTCATTTATATCAATCAGTCTTAGCGTGTATCAAAGATAAAAAGTGAATAACTTACTACTAATTAATACTTGTGAAAACCTAAGACTGTTAAATTCTATTAATATAAATGGGAGCCGTCAAAATGACTGCTCTTGGAGTTTTTGTAGTTTCAAACTTTTAGGAATCCAAGTGCTAAAGTGTATTTTCCTGTGTGGATGCTCTTTACGAATCGTCACTCACTGTGCTGCACTTTCCAGTGCTGTTCTATTTGATTGATTTTTGTTTCTATAGAATCTATGTGGTTTTTCTAAACCAGACTGTGATGTTGAGTTTATAATCTCATGTTTCTCTTTCTAATGTGTCATGTGACCTGCACCATTTAGGATCACAGCTGGCCTCACTCTCGTAATCGCCTTGAGGAAGACACTTGTGTTGAATAGGCTCCTGTCTATTTATGAATAAAGGACTTTTATAAGGTAACCACTGCCTCTGACCACTTTCTGTGTCTGCGTTTACTTTTTATATATGTATTTATTTACATGTAAAAGCAAGTTACTGTCTCTCATTTCTCATGTTTAAAATTTCATTTGAATTGTTAAATAATATTTGTTGAATAGATGCAAGACACTATATATATGTATATATAAATAAATATTTATATATTTTCCCTAATACATTAATGCCATGGGGTATTGTTGTAACTATTTTGTGTTAGTTTCATCTGTAGTAGACTACAAATGACATTGGACAAACTTAATATAATCAATATCCTTTATCTAAAAGAGCCACTCGTATAAACGGCCACTAAAAGTTTGATTTTATTCTATATAAGATCAAATCAGTTTGTTCTTTTGTTCCATATACTTGTGTTTAAGGTAGATGTTGTTTCCAGGGTAAAGTTAGACCCCTGATCATCCTGCTAATGCAATTGCAAATTGCGTAGACTACTCTGGCCCCACCTTTGCCATTTGCGGCCCATCAACTTCAGAAGAGAAACATTCTGCAGATAAACACGCCCTGCGTGCTATTGTCTGACCAGGTATAAGAGCAGTGTCCCGTCTCAGTCTGGACACAACTGGACAGAGAAGCAACATGAAGATGACCATGAGACAACTGCCAGTCCCACCTACAAAGCAACATCTCAGGAGCACAACTTACCTGGCCAAGATTGCTCTGATTCTGCAAGGAGCTCCAGACAAAATGCTTACTTTCAGCCAGGTATGACATATTTAATCCCACTGCACTGAGTGTATGTTTACACTATCAGATATTAACTTGTTTATGTGTTTAGTTGATGTACAGAATGGCTCCACTGATCCCTGAAGATACAAAATCTGTGGAAGTCAACATCAGAGTCTGTCTCTCCAGCAACAAATGTTTTGTTAAGGTAAGAACTCTGGCATAGTTGTGTGGCTTCATAGTGTGTGTACATTTTGGATGGAAAAACTAAAATATTTTTAGTTGCACTAGGACTGACACTCACTGCTAATCACTTTTAACCTTTATCATACACAATATATCTTGCACAAAATCAACTGTATTTTTAACCTTTTAATATGGTTGCCCACTTCCTGTCTTTTCCATTCCCTGAGTGATTCCATCTATGCCAATGTGACATGTGCATTTCTTCATTGTGAGATCAATAAAGTTTGTTATTTTCTTCCGCAGATCCCACTGATCCCAGGGTCCCAGAACAGCAAGAAGAACTACTGGAAACTGGACATGAATCACATCACAGAGAAGATGGTACGCCGCCACTTCAGAGGGATCTTGGAGTTCTTCCCCGAGTTGGCTTCCAAACTCCAAACTCCAATCCAGACGTCGAAGGAGAAGGCCTCGGTCGGTTCACCTGAAACTACCTGCAAAGCTCGTCAAGTCAAGCGTGAAGTGAAGTTTACGAGTCCCTTTTCCATTGAATCCATTCTAAGGAGGGACAGTGCATATGTCAGGACCTCCAGATCCTATACTGACCCGTTCAGTGCAGAGCAGCCTGAGGTTTCTCATAGCAGGGGGGTGAAGAGGAGCCTCCACTGGGACACATCTGCAGCACCCCCCGTTTGGTCGGTAGGGGGCAGCACACACGTCGGGAGTAGCCATATGCGCAGCGAAGGGCCGTTCCCAATGTGCAGCAGCGGCCCCTACATGACCACCTTCTCTGCTCCGATTCTGTGCCATCACCCTTTCACGTGGGTGTAGTCGTGTTTTAAATGTTTTTCAGCACTTTAACTTTTTTTTCTTTCAATAAAATGTGTCAAAATGAAAGGATTTGACTCGCTTACTTCTCAGGTATTGTTCTCCCTATGAACGGTCTCGTGATTGGTTGAGGGGGGTCCTCTGAAAAGGTTAGACGTGACCGAGTTCCAAAATACCTGCATGTGCAAACTAGTGACAGAACAAAAATGAGAGTGGGAAACTAATTTATTTGTCTGATTGCATAACTATGGTTTGAAAGTACCCCACCAATAAAAGGGTGACTGCCTGTATCCTCAGATACGACGTTGCATTCTATTTTTTCGCTATCTCCACCTGTTGCACGGATGTAAAACTCTGGACAATGAACTGCAAACTAGTTTAAATCTAAACAAAAGGCTGAATCCTATGTTAAAGTAAACTAGGATTAGGATAAAATGTACTTTTAATCTTACAGGAGAACTGTACATGTCACGTTTGGCAAATTGTGCAAAAAGTAAAATGTGCAGACAGGACATATGTACGAAAGTGGCAATGAGAAGTGTCAATAGTAGTGCAGGTTTTATCAGTCTTAGGCTATATCCACACGAAGACAAAACGCTTATAATTTCAGAAACTTTTTCTGTAAACACGGAGTTAGCTCAGTAAATGTGTGCGTCCATATGAATGTAGTCAATACGCCTGAAAACGCTGTGAAACTATGCCAGACCTGTTGGTGGCGCTGTGACGCAATGACGGGATCAAGCCCAAACTTCCGTGACGGGAACTGGGCATGCGCAGAATTTTGTAAACAGACAACATGGCGAGTGGGCGAGCTGGTACTACATTAGTATGGACGGACGATGAGGTTGAACTGTTGCTTCGGGTCGCACTGGATTACAAAACCAACAAGCTACATTGTTGTTGTCATTATTTTCTGAGTGCGGCGCATGCGTGCTTTAACAAGAGGCGGGGCGATGACGCAAGCGTCTCAGATACATTGCGGAGAGGCAGTAACCACGGAGCGGCATATACGGAGTTTTGAAATCTTTCCACTCTGGGACCTACTTTCAAAAATGTTCGTTTATACCCCCCCAAAACGCCGGCCTCGTATGGACGATACACTGGATTGATAAAGTATTTTTGCGTTTAGGCCTGAGCTTGACTTCGTGTGGACAGGGCCTTAGTGCAGCGACTTAAAGTGACTTATTGTACAGTCTGACAGCGGTGGGGATAAAGGGTGCCTCAGTCTTTCACTGAAGCTCCTCAGCTCTACAGTCCTGTGCAGTGACATTTAATGAAGCCATCCATGTTTGTTACCATGGGTGTAAATACAGTGCCTTGCGAAAGTATTCGGCCCCCATTGAACCTTTCAACATTTCAGGCTTCAAACAAAGATATAAAAATTAAATTTGTCAGGAATCAAGTGGGACACAATCGTGAAGTGAAACGAAATGTATTGGATAATTTAAACTTTAACAAATAAACTGAAAAGTGGGGCGTGCAATATTATTCAGCCCCCTTGCGCTAATACTTTGTAGCGCCACCTTTTGCTGCAATTACAGCTGCAAGTCGCTTGGGGTATGTATCAGTTTTGCACATCGAGAGACTGGAATTCTTGCCCATTCTTCCTTGCAAAACAGCTCGAGCTCAGTGAGGTTGGATGGAGAGCGTTTGTGAACAGCAGTCTTCAGCTCTTTCCACAGATTCTTGATTGGATTCAGGTCTGGACTTTGACTTGGCCATTCTAACACCTGGATACGTCTATTTGTGAACTATTCCATTGTAGATTTGGCTTTATGTTTTGGATCATTGTCCTGTTGGAAGATAAATCTCCGTCCCAGTCTCAGGTCTTTTGCAAACTCCAACAGGTTTTCTTCCAGAATGGTCCTGTATTTGGCTCGATCCATCTTCCCTGTCCCTGCTGAAGAAAAGCAGGCCCAAACCATGATGCTGCCACCACCATGTTTGACAGTGGGGATGGTGTGTTCAGGGTGATGAGCTGTGTTGCTTTTACGCCAAACATATCGTTTTGCATTGTGGCCAAACAGTTCGATTTTGGTTTCATCTGACCAGAGCACCTTCTTCCACATGTTTGGTGTGTCTCCCAGGTGGCTTGTGGCAAACTTTAAACAAGACTTTTTATGGATATCTTTGAGAAATGGCTTTCTTCTTGCCACTCTTCCATAAAGGCCAGATTTGTGCAGTGCACGACTGATTGTTGTCCTATGGACAGACTCTCCCACCTCAGCTGTAGTTATCTGCAGTTCATCCAGAGTGATCATGGGCCTCTTGGCTGCATCTCTGATCAGTCTTCTCCTTGTTTGAGATGAAAGTTTGGAGGGACGGCCGGGTCTTTGTAGATTTACAGTGGTCTGATACTCCTATTTCAATACAATTGCTTCCACAGTGCTCCTTGAGATTTTTAAAGCTTGGGAAATCTTTTTGTATCCAAATCCGGCTTTAAACTTCTCCACAACAGTATCTCGGACTTGCCTGGTGTGTTCCTTTGTCTTCATGGTTCTCTCTGCGCTTTAAACAGAACCCTGAGACTATCAAAAAACCGGTGCATTTATACGGAGACTTGATTACACACAGGTGCATTCTATTTATCATCAGTCATTTAGGACAACATTGGATCATTCAAAGATCCTCACTGAACTTCTGGATTGAGTTTGCTACACTGAAAGTAAAGGGGCCGAATAATATTGCACGCCCCACTTTTCAGTTTTGTATTTGTTAAACAAGTTTAAATTATCCAATACATTTTGTTCCACTTCACGATTGTGTCCCACTTGTTGATTCATGACAAAAAATTAAAATTGTATCTTTGTTTGAAGCCTGAAATGTGGCGAAATGTTGAAAGGAATACTTTCGCAAGGCACTGTACGTCTACTACTGATCCTTTGTGGCTAATGTTAAATGAGAAAAAATGAAATTGAGGCTGGGGAATTAACGTGTGCACGAGCCGGAAAACCAACAACCAAGGTTTGGATTTACTTTTAAATTGCCCGAGATTTATGACAGAGTCATCAGCCACTTCACCATTTTGCGGCGCTGTGTGCAAGCAAGAGACAGCACAAACTTTACGTGCACGAGTAAACTTTACTCTTCTCCTGCATTGAAAGGTTTTTGGATCACCAACTATTGCCTTGTTTTAAAAACGTCATGAAGCCTTTTTTTCCCCTTTTAATAGCAAGAAATTAGGAGGTGGGACTTTTCAGTCGTACAGAAATAAACAGCATTAACGTGTATGCTCAAGTCGCCTTGCTTCTTAGGAACTAGTGACTTTTTAGAATTGATTAGAGATATTTGCTCAGAACAATCATTTAAAAAAAAAAAAAGGTGTGAATCAGTAGAACACTGGTTCCCAAAGTGGGGGTCGCAGGACACTAACTGGTGGTTACAGGCAGATCATATTTTAACATTATTTTCTAAATTACATTCAAATTGAATGGGAACCTTGCTATACAACACCCACTAAACAGTCTGAAAACTAGTGTAAATAAATACGATTTAAATGAAAGAACTATAGACGTTAGTGAAATAAAATGCCTTTTTATTATTCAGCTGTGTCATAACCTCGTCTCAAACAATCACAGCAGGACAACTGGTTTATCAACTTAGCTATCCTCAATAGCACATAAAACTTTGTTTTATTGGACCACCAGTGAGATTTTTCTATCAGACATCCAATAAGCATACAAAATAGTTAACCTACAAGTGATACTGTCTGTATATAAAACACTTGTCTCTAGATTTACCCATGACCCACCCCGATTCACCCACACCCCTTAGAACATTTGTGACACTGACATTTTATGCTTTAACAAGCACATATTAAGAATGCATAATTCTCCATTTCAGGATAATAAAAAAACTACACAATGTTACACTTTAAGTCAAGAGTACATTTAACTGATTATTAGTGTTCTACACATTCTGCCATAGACCAAAAAGAATTGAATCATATATCACTATAACTTAATACTAAATGCCATCTACGCTAAATAATAAAAAAATACAAATGACTTTTGATTAAAAAGATAAAATAAAGATGGCTAGAGCAAAGGCAAGCTGGGTCGGTACCAAAACAGAGTGAGTAATAATAAAAATAAAAAAAATACGAAAAAAAGAGAAATAAAGGATAATACAGGCAAGGCTAAACATCCAACTTAAATCCACCTCATGTGCGCCCATTTTGAACCTGCTTTAAGCCCCCGATCATGATTCCACTTCTTGATACTCTTTTCTACAACACAACTTGCTTAAAACATCCCAGTGGAAACCATCTTATTCAAATTTCAGGCACTTTCCAAGACCCTTTTTTATCTTCATACCTTCAACAACTCTTCAGGCCAAGTCTAATGCTGTGTTACATAACATGGGCCAACCACAATGCAGGTTTTACTGAATAAAACTGAAAGGATAAGAGATTATGTTATAATGAGGCATTGAAAATGACAAGATTCGCCGTGTAACAGCTGTAAGTTTACCAATTCTACAGGTCGGTGTCAAACCAGGCCAGCTGGTTGCTGTCCATTAGGTCCTGGGTGTGTCCCAGATCCGGTAATGGATCAGTGTGGTGGCCCAGGTCTGGCAGAGCCTCAGGGTGATAGTCTGCACCTTCCATCATGGGGTCCAACAGAGCGTCCTGACCGTAGGGGGCTGGATATGCCCGGTAATCTCCATCTAAACAGAACAGTTCAGTCAACTTCATAAACTTTATACATAATGTTGGATACAAAGAGAATGATGCTTACCATCTTGCCTGTAGGCCAGTGGATCTCCTGGAGCTCCAATGTCCAGCCCCAAGTCTCCAGTCTGACAACAAACAAAAAGAAACATGACAAGTGTGCACAATATTCAAAACAAAAGCACATTTTTATTTTGTTATCCGTTTGTTTGATTTTACTGCTGTATGGCACTGTAGAAATTGGTTTATAGATATGCTACATCAACAAAGTGGATTAAAGTGGGCCAGATTATCAGTCATGTCCATTTGGACCAGATGAGTCTATTTTGTGCAATAATAAGTTTTACAAAACATTCAAAAGTACCTCATTCCACGCCATTGGTTCAGTTCTGAACAAAGAGCTGGTCAGTTCAACTGACAGTCGTTTCTTATAATCCTGTGGTTTGTCTTCAGACATACGAAACAGGACAGCTGCAGCGTAGGTAGCTATACAAAAGAAAATATCAGCAAATTGCAAGAAAGTTCATTTGATGAGCACATGTCTACTTGAACTCACCAACACCCTCATTTCTAGAGTGCAGCAGCTCAGTCAGAGGTGCAGTGGCTCCTTCAGCTTCTATTGCCTCGGCTGCTTCTTTGTCCTGAGCCAGTTCACAGAGCACACCTGCTGCTACACGCTGAATGTTCTCCACTGGAGAGTAGAGCAGCTTCAGAGGGAAACCGCCAAAACACTCATAATTAGTGACATTTATATGCACAAATAACCAACACATCAGGGCAATACCGCTTACCTGCACAAAGAGTGGAATGGTGTTAAGTCCTCTAATGACAATTCTGTTATGAACATCTCGGGCCAAAATGTGTAGGGCACCTGTGCACCCCTCGACTATTTCCTCCATCCTCACGCCCTCCTGTGTATTAAAAACAAATTAAGCAACAGTACAAACATATACAAAGTCATACATTTCTTTTGGAACACACCACAAACTGCTGTTGGTTGCCTCCCATGCTTGTGCGTCTCTGGGTGTCCTGGTGTGCCCTCACAAGCAGCTGCACAAGTCTGGGGATCGCCCCCTGCTCACGCAGTGCACTGTGATTGGCAGGACAAAGTGCCAGATTCCGGATGAGTCCAACAGTGGCCTAAAGAGCAAGTGAATGTATTGATGTTTAAGAGAGTAATCAAGATGAAATCATGATTTAATACAGACAGAATCCAATCACCTTGATGAGAGGCCAATGGGATGGAGGGTGCAGTAGTTTCACGACGACTGGAAGCCCATAGTGAAGGCGCACAGCATTCTGAGCCATTTCAGCATCTTGGTGACGGGAGGTGAGGTGGCGCAGGGCACATACAGCAGGCTCAGTTATGTCCTCCCGGTCACCAGCGCGAAGCACGGTTCTGACAAGAGCCTCAATGCCTCCAACCTTGTCCACAATTTGACACAATTAAAAAAATAAAAACACTTCTTTCTTTTTGTAGTGTTTCAAGCCCACCTGGCAGACCATGAGTTTGTTACTGTAGTTGTTACATGTGAGGTTGGACAGGATGCCTGCAGCACAAGTCACGACGTTGATGTCGTCGCTACCCAAAAGTTGTACCAGCGTTCCCAGAAGACCTTCCATTCCCTCCTGGACATACAAGTGTTGAATCAAACATGGAATTGTCTATACACAAAATGCTATCAGCAGTTTGTACCTGTTTTGTGGCAGCATCTGAAAGATTCCTCAAAGTCCAGAGGCAGTTCTGAACTAAACGCTGACTGGGATCGGTCAAGTGCAGCCCCAGAGCCTGCATTCCCCCTACACAACAAAGTGACTTATTGTACAGAATATAAGAATATGAGGATTGGACACTCTAGCATCATTTGGGTGATTGGACCAAGAGAACTCCAGTCAGTCACACAAATAATGTGCACAAAAGCTCTACTCAAATGAAACACAAACTACATTAAAAATAATTCACTACTTAAACATCTGGCACATGCAGGATTCCATACTTCACAAAACATACAATATATAACCAGAGACTGAATATTATCAAAGCAGGATAATGCCATCACTACTGTTTAATTATATATATTGGGAAAGATAATCCTTATTCTGCAATTTCTACAGCATCACAGGGATTTTCCGTTGATTTTTTTTTTTTATTTCTCTGATCAATTGGACACTTTTATAACTATCAAAACTCATTCTTATTTTGACTGTATTTTGATTGAAAGCTGCATCACTGTACGCTGCCTGCAGAAGCAGAGCCGACGTCAACTTCACCAGTGACCCTTTGCGTACGCCTGCAAATGCAGCGTCCCTCTTGCTCTGTTCCCATGAGAGAGAAAGTTGTGAGATCAGCACTGCGCCCTAATGTCAGAAGTTGTGCCAATCATTTCTAGAGAAACATCTGTGACCCCCCTCACAGGAAGTGCATGTAAAAGTTTGTGTGTGTATGTGCATGCAAAGCCCTGTAGGCTGAGACCCGTTTCAGACTGGGTCTGGTCCTGGTTCAGTCTCTGGATATGCGGGAGGAAAAACCGCACTAAATAGATTGCGTTTGTTAGATTTTCTTGTTATGACACCTGTTAATGATCATTACATCTACATTTGAATAATAATAAATCATAATCCCATTAAAAGTAAGTTCAATAAGGGCTATAAAACCCTGTCACTAAATAATATGACCAATTAAAGGCATACACATACCAGCCTCCACAATGGCAGGTTTGTTGCTGGAACAAACTGAAAGCACTTTGAGAACTCTGCTGGTGGTCCATAGCAGTTTCTCATATGTAAAAGTCCTCATGATATTGACCAGAGCCTGCGGTCCACCACTTGCCAGAATAATCAGCTGAAATTAAAAATCAAATGAAGTTACCATAAAATTTTCGGAAAATAGAAAACAAAAGTAGTATTTTTACTAGTTTATACCTTGCTTTCCTGATTACCATAAGCCAGAATCTGGAGGCAATCAGTTGTTATCGCCAGAAATTTGACGTTTGTATTCGACAATAGTGCCACCATTTTCTGGAGGCCTCCAGCCAAACGAACTGCCATCTTTGCTCCCTCTTGGTGCAGTAAAAGGTTGTGAAGGGTAGTGATGGCATAGAACAGCACGCTGTCCACAGGAGAACTGTGAACATAGGGTAAACGCATTGGAGATCAAGTCGTCAAGCTGTCGTTGCTAATAGAAGACATAATCACTCACCCAAGCATCTTGACCAAGGCCGGGATGCCTCCGGATTTGAAAATAGCCAGTAGCCCCTCACGATGATGAGAAAGATTATGCAGGGTTCCAGCTGAACAGCGGGCAGTCTCCACATCACCTGTGTTTTGCATGGCACGCACGACCGCAGACACCATCTGTGGAGACCGCATCAGGGCATGGCGAGACGCCTCCTTCTTTGACAGCTGGTGCACCATCACCGCTGCTTTATTCACAACAACCTGCAAGTATTAGAAATGGTTATAGCGGGTGGTTAAATGGGAAAAATATCAACACATTTTATGATTTGTACCTGATCTTCATCATTGAGCAGTTTGGTGAGCTCAGGTATGGCCCGAGTTGCCAGCTCTGCATCATCTTGGTAGTTAATTAGATTGACAACAGCGTGCTTCAACATCTGTGAAGGCTCAGCCAAGCGCTGCACTGCTGTGGGGTGGGCAGCATCCATCTGTGTAGGAGGAAGCTGAAGTCCTTCCTCCAGGGTCTCTGGAAACATGGCTGCTCTAACACGTTGAGCCCGAGTCATGGCAAAGCCCTCAATATCTGAAAGTGCAATGAGAATGAGTTTTTAAGTGAGTGTCCCACAGACTTCCTCCCTGTCTGAAGCACTCACCTGCGGCCTCTGGGGTGAAAGGCTGATTGAACTCCCAGTCGTAGAGAGTTGGGTCATCCTCTTCAGCATCAGGGTTCCCCTTCCCACTCAGAGAAGGGGCTGTGGTTGTCACCCCAGACTGGATGCCTGAGTCCAGGTAGGACTGCTGCTGCCACTGGCTCACAGCAGCCTTACTGTCTCCCATAGCCATGTCCAACTCCATCAAATCAGCTGGAACAAAGTGATAGAGAAAAAATTATTAATGCAAATTGTAATTGTGTCTTCTATAAAGCAAAATATTTTATCTATTATGAAAAAGTATCACCTAATCTAATCACTAAGGGTAGTAGGACCATCAAAGATGCTGTGTCTTTGCCTGACCTCTGGAGTCTGCCCTGACATCAGAGACACACACCTGAATTGTCTGTTGGAAATATGAATTGGTTTTGTTTTTTATTTTCCAAAAACTTTTTTCAATGCGAGTTAAAATAAAATTATTAAGTATTTACACTCATCTCTACCCCCATATGCCAATAGATCTACAAGTATATTTACAAATTATCAGCTCAAAATGGAGTGGGAAGAAGAAAAACACTAAAACTTTTCAACCTCTTCTCAGCATGTTCAAGTCCAAGCAAGGTTCAAAATGTAATAGTAGTTGACAAAATGTTTACCCTTAATATATTAGATGCACACAATTTCAACATTAGTTTAGTGTTGATAATCAATGAACTTGTTACAGGACTAAAAAGAATACAAAATAAATTGATTCAAACATTAAGTCAATCAGATCTCCAAGGTGGAGATCTCTTTGGATAAGTGCATACTTACACTGGGTAGCCATTATTGTTGCTGACCCTCAGCCCGTACAGCAGTTTTCACTAGAAGAGAAAGAAGGAACGTGTTGAATAAGTAACTTTTTGCTTGTGTATCAATGGAACACTGCAGCAATTTAGCATTTGGAATAATCTTTAGTAGCTTTGCTACCTAGCTCACAAAACGCAAAAGTGAGGGGAAATGCTGAGCCACCACCTCCAGTTGAAAGCAGTGGGTATTTCCAGGGCAGCACGAACAAACACAATTCACCATTCAGCAGCAACCAACATCAAAGACATATTTCTGTCCCTCCCCCCACGCGGCCAAAGCCCGACCTCGTAGATTGCGTTTCCAATGAGAGGAACTACCTCCTTCGCCCTACAATCTCTTCTCATCAGAAGGAAAACTTCTTTCCACAACATCAGTGAAAAGACAGCAACCACTTACTCATAGATCCTTCTATCTAAAAACATAACTGATGTATTTATTCAAACAGATTATTAAACAGACCTTTTATTGTATTATAGATAATTACATGTATGTTTGTACAGAATTTAAACCAGGGGTGCAACACACGGGCCCAAATGGCCTGAGAGACTTCAAATGATATTCAATTATTATTATTAATGCTAAAATTGCTAGTTTTTAAATGGTGATTATATGGACTTCCATTAGATTCATTTTCATAAATTTGCCATTTGCTATAAAACCACATTGGCAAAAGTCCCATTACAGGTCTTTTCATAATTGAAAGCATATTCTTGAAGAAAAAAAATTGCATTATTTGTAAACATTGAACCCAAAACGCAATTGGAAGTAATACCAACTTCATAACGATCTTTCCTCATCTTCTGATAGAATCTTGGTTCAATCCATAACTATCCATAAGTTCAGAAGAATGTACAATAACTGAATATGAAAACTTTTATGGTGAAATAAAAATAGACGTGCAAAAATAAGGATCCCTTGGAATTGAAATTATATTAGAAGATGAGATCGACTGCCCTAAGACTCAAACCAGCAACCTTTATATTAAGCTATATTTAACCAAGTTGAGATCATCGCAATTTTCAAAGTTAATTAACCGTATACTCAATTTGCTAGCAAATACATTTAGGTAGTTGTGACTAGTTACAAACCTGATAGAAGTATTTTTATGCATTTAAATTGTGCTGATACACAAACATACTCAATCGCATTTGATACAAAAAAATAAAAAATCTTTAAAAGCTAGGTGGCATTCTCACTCTGAATCAAAACAGTTAGGTTTGGAACAGCCATCAGTGGCAATCATCTGGGGGACCGAGCTGTGGCAGCGCGGTAGAAATATATCCAAAATGAAAAATTCTGAGTGTGAAAAAGTCCTCACAATGTTGCATAAAGCAGGACGCTGAAGCAGATCAATAGGTGGTCTGTTTAGGACCTTCGGTATGCTCCATGATCATGATAGACATTACGTAGCTACATCACGCCACACATTACTTAAAGGCTTAAACAGTCATGATATCTTTATTTCTCATGAAGCCCATTTTATTCCCAGCAAGTTACGTTCATTACAATAACAGGACTATAATGCGCCTTCATCCCACCTTTAAGCTAACCTTGCGTGCGCAGCTAAGTACTCTCGTTAGCTTTAATATGCTAACTAGCTAACATAAACAAACAAAGCCACAAGGGGCATTAATGCAGCAGCAGCAGCAGAGTAACACTTGACCGGTGGGTTAGTGGAGAGTGTAGCTAGTAGGGGAAATTATGTAGGCAAAGACAGGACAGTGACGATACACCCATTCACACTGGCTCGGTTAGCTTAGCCAGGACGTATGAAAAGTAGATCCAACAAACCACCAGCCAAATCAGAAAACCCCACCGGAGCCCACTCCCATGCCAAAGATGATTTTTCCTTCGTGAAGCAGACATTGACGAGCTGCTAATGAAATCGAGTCGTATTTTAAGAAGCAACATCTTTACCAGTATTCAGTAGTTCCTCCGTGGCTCTTGCTCGGTTTTTTTCTTTTTACTCGGCTGAAAATGGGAAAGGACTGCTGTGAGGTGAACCACCCGTGTCGAGTCCTAACTACACCCGCGGTAGTTCTGCTGCTTCCGCCTGTAAGAAATAACGACAAGATGGCGGAAGGAGACACTAGTATATTCTTCCGCAGTTGATAAAATAGGGCACAATTTTAAACTAGTTAAACTATTGAATGAATCCATACTCTCGCTAATGATAATATTTTTTTAAAACTGTATTATATTTATGATATTAATCCAACAAATAGAAAATACAAATGACAATTGTGTCAGTTAACTGTAGTGAATAGAAAAGAACATTGGATTAATTACTCAGGAATGTGGCTCACGGGCTACTTCAGTGATGGCATTTTGGGTTCGCAGGGTTGGATAATCATTAAGTTATAGTTGAGTTACAAACGCGTATGTCTAAAAATGTACACACACAGTGTTGATTTAGAAAACTGGAATACATGTTCCACCTAAACATAGAAAAAGTGGCTGATCTAAAGGTCCTACCAATGGCTAGGGCTGGCTTATTTACTGTATTTGTTGTTTATTTTTAGTTGGGACAGTGCGTGGGAATGAACACACCTTTATGGATTGTAGCCTTGGGTTCATGTACATCCTTTGTCCCACGCTCACACATGTTTTTAGAAGGGAAACCGGAGCACCCAGAGGAAACCGAAGTAGACACAGGGAGAACATGCAAACTCCACACAGAAAGGCCTCGAGGTGGAATCGAACCCAGGACATTCTTGCTGTGAAGCACAAGTGCTCACCGCTGCAGATGCACTCATCATGGTTGCACTGGAGCAGGCCCTGGGCACCAGAGCATAGAGGGCCATAAGACCCAGCTTCTCTCTGGCCAACTCACGTGCCGTATAAGGACGTCTCTTAAACCCAGTTGTGCAAAGAGGCACTGGAGACGATCCAACACATAACTGTAGTGCAGAGTAGTGATGGCAATATGAAGCCCCATGAAGCCTTGAGGGATAGCAGCCTATTACTCGGCCCATGAGTCGAAGGCTCGAGGTGAATCATGCTCCACTACGCCATCATGTGGACAAAGAAATACATAACACTCTTAAGTGCTTACAATGAATGGTGAGATCTAATGTTAAAATGTATATTTACAATCTATGGTCTAACGTGTTGTGTTTGAAATGATGCTTCATGAACTATGAACTATTTGAGTCTTTCAGTCAATTGTGTTGATACAACAAACACATCCAAAGTAATACAGTTCTACAGAAAGTGATTAATGGAGGAAAAACTACCAAGAGGTGGATTAATTAAACACAACAAACCATTTATTCCCAATAAATAAATACATTTACTTTGCAACACAAAATTTATTATGGGTAGACCAGGATTCGAACGCTATATCTTCTGCTTCGGAGTCCGTCATAGACCGACTGCGCCACACAGCTGTTGTGAAATGTATTATCCAGCGTATTATTACTAATAACTTGAAGCCTTGATATATGAGGTTTTGCTAAAGTGAAACGTTTTTAATTGTATTTCATATGAAGTAGTTTCTCTATACTTAGTACAGGACTGCTCCACATCACGCACACACACGTACGCACACGCACACACACGTACGCACACACACACGTACGCACACAGAGGCAGACGGGGACAGCCAATACAGTCTATGGCACAGCCGCGGATCACAAAGCACCTGTCAAAGCAATGCACTCTCCGAACTATATGAAGCACTATATGAACGCGTAGCGGCCGAACGTGGTGCGGCCGCTACGCGAGGCTTCGAACGTCACCACACACGTGACCAATACACGCCTCGACCCACACTTCACAAGAAACGCCCCCAGATTACTCGGTCCACGCTTCGAAGACTCGGTCCGCTCAGCCTCAGCACATCACTAGTCATGGACGTCGGAACTATTTTCTGAGAGGGGGGGCGGGTTTTTGTTGGGAGAGTCGAGGGAGAGACTCATACTTGGATTACACTGGATAATAACATACCATCTTAATTGTTAAGAAAAACAAAATAAACAATATATATCAAGCAAGTCACTTATCAAACTGAACTTTTTTTTTTTCAATACGCATTCATGCGTCAGTCTCTCCGGTGGCTTCATTGTGTTGTGTAGCCCAGTGACGTGCGGTCAGATGAGGCAGGCAAGGCCCTCACCTAAGATCATAGAAAGAAAAGTAATAAAATGGATACAATAATGTTTGGTCACTTTATCAAGTGATTTGTGCTGTGCCTTATTTCATTTATTTATACCTTGAAATCGCAGATTTGACAGAGCGGTGCTGTGAGGCAAGCCTCTCTTGGGAGACGTAAAAAGCAACAGTTCACAGGGAGAGTCCTGTGAGGTGCTATCAAACTGTTTTCCCTGTTTATCACAGTTTAAAAAGTTCAAAAATATTTAATTTACAATCAACATGTTTACATTTAAGAGGATGGCTCATAAATTGTGTTTTTGAAGCAAATATGGGTCTTAATCGCGCTCAACCACAGCTTGTAAGTGAGGAAAGCCTCAAGGGGGCGCTTGTGAGCCCAAACTTTGGCTGCATCCAATTCCATCAGAAAGCTCCTTTCTTGTTCTTCTTCTGCTAAGGGCAACTACAGGTTTGGCTAACATACCTATAATACATTTTAAGATAATTTAAAATGCACTTAGAGTAATGTTTTGCTTCCAATGATGATATGAATCATAAGAAAAGGAGGTGAAGGGTAAGGTTGAATTTAGAAATTGGATTTACCCGGGAGTCGGCTGCAGCAAAACTCGGAGTTTACGGAGGAGACACCCGTTTTTTTTACTTTTTAAAACTCATTTAACTTATTTCCAAATGGAGGATTACATGTCTGTGCCCAAACTATTATCTGGACTTAAACATGAAACTGGTCCTAACTGAAGTGGTCTGTGCTGTTCATTAATACCTAAGGTAAGGCCCATAACACACTTTGTACTATTTACAAACGTTTGCGTTTTGTATGAGAAAACAATGCAGACATTAAATCATATTCTGCTGTAGCCAAACAAA